GTGACTGGTCCAACATTCATAAACTAGCTGACCTGCTTGCTATCCACCCACTGTGTCTTTGTTTTAGTGTTATTGAAAGTGATTTCAGTAATTCAGCCATTGAACTTCATCGCACATCCACTGAAATAAGTGAACATTACTATATCATATCAAATGGTGTAATTGTACGTGAAACTGGATTCTAAGCTGCAAAATTTGGTCAATTCTTTCAGCAATTGAGGAAGCTGGTGCTGGAAATCATCCACCGCATCCCAACAAATGAACATCTTCGTCCACACACAAAGAACATCCTGTCTGTGATGTTCCGCTTCCTAGAGGTATGAGTCCTAATCTCTTAGAAACAGAACATTTATTGTTTTTGTTATTTTGCATCCTTGAGTTACTCTAAAACTGTATTGTGAGTGATGTGCTGCTATTAGTGGATTTGTTTTTTTAGAAGATTCCAAAGCTTAGTAATAATAATAATATTAACCACCTCCCAAATGCTGAATTTTCTTCCTGCAGTGGTATTAGTGTTGGATTAACATTAACAACAATTTAAGAAAATTGGTTGGGTTCATTGCTGTGGCATAGATATATTGGATGGTAAACAGTAATTGTTGAAGTTTGAAATTCACAACTCGTTGTGGGTAGTGGGCAGATATATAGTAAATAATTTTTTTATTTTTTATATATGCAGTTATTCCATACATACATGAGCTATTGTGTGGTCATTTCACATTGATGTTTTCTTGCTTTTTTTACAGATTGAAAGTGAGGAAAATGTGCTGATATGCCTTCGCATCATTATTGAGCTGCACAAACAGTTCCGGCCTCCAATCTCTCAGGAGGTGAGAAGCTCAGCCTTATTGCTTGGAAATAAATTTTAAGCTGTAAAAGAACGTGAAAATATTGATAGGTCTGTCTCAGTTGACTAATTGTGGATTTGAATGAAAAATGTATTTCCATGTATTTTGTACCTGTACAGATGAATGCAGACTTTTTTTTATCAAAGACCACATTTGTTAATATTACTGTGATGCCAGATATGTGATTATCATTAAATAGTCATAACTAATGACAAATACCTAATCCCCTATAGTAACATTGTTAACATTGTTTGTTGACCAAGAGCTGAACAGGCCAAACTGAATTAAGATATTGAAGAAAAAACGGTTTGCTCTTGTTATTTATGAAAAAGAAAGGGAACATTTTCTTGAAGTTTTGGATTAACATTTTCATTTTCATACTCCTCTCCTCTCAGATTCATCACTTTCTGGACTTTGTGAAGCAGATTTACAAAGACCTTCCGAAAGTTGTTGTAAGTACACCCTGAGCAGCAGGTGGCTTTGTTTTCAGTGAAGAAGTATTTGGTTCTTTCTTGAGTTTTTGATGATGATAGCATTGAGTAACTTGCTATATCTCATCTCTGCCTTTCTTCCTTTCTTCCCGTGTCTGTGTTTCCTCTAACCACTGTCTCTCTCTGCTCCGACTAGGCCAGGTACTTTGAGAACCCACAGGTGATAGCAGAGAACACAGTTCCCTCCCCAGAAATGGTCGGGATGATCACATCGGTGTTGGTTAAGACTGCACCTGAGAGGGAAGACAGCGAAACACGAACAGTAAGCTAACCAACAGTTTGTAGGAGTTTATATCTTCACTGTGTAATCTCTATACAGCATACTTTTACAGTACTGTCTTTAACCACTGGATGGTAGTAGTGCACTGTGTTGGCACACTATCAGGAGAGACCACAAAACTGCCCTCTTACTTACCCTCAAATAGAAAATAAATAAAATGTACCTTATGCTGTTTTAGGCATCTATTTTTCAAAATGAATAGTTGTACAACACGTGTGCTTTTGTCAGTGAAACATGATGCTGCATTGAGTTTGTCTCACTGAGGAACTTTATTGATTGACAGTTTCTTGACTAGTAGTGTGTAGTGTGTAACATTTAGGAGGATCTATTGGCACGTATGGAATATTATATTTCAAGGGAAGGTTTTCATTAGTCCATAATCACCTCAACATAGGGATAGTTATGTTTATGTTACCTTAGAAGGAGCCTTTTAT